ACGATACATAGAAGGAGGGCTGCAAAGGACAGCAGCATGAGTATCAGCGCGTACAGAGGTTTAGGGACATAGGAAAGCTGGTCAAATACAGCTGAAGGAAGCTCTAAGACGAAGTTGGCCACGACCAAGATCCGCTCAAAAGAAACCATCTAAAACAAAAGAAACAGATACTTTAGAGGGAGAAAATAATGACGCTGCAAAGTTGAAAACTTAATTCCAAAAGAAAAAAGGAAACTCCTCTTCTTAACTGTAATCCCTGTTCCAAAATTCAACACACCTCTGATTTCTCTGGCTTCTTTTTAGACTCTGCTTTTATCGGCTGGGGCAATTGTGATGAGAATTGTTCACACGTGTGTCTTCCCCGACAGGAGACCTCAAAGATTGAGGGGTCATCGTTCGATCTCTGAACTAGCCTAGTGGCCGTACATCCCTGAGAAAGACGGTGGGTGCACCTAAAATATTCCCTGCAATTTGCAAATGTAGCATGAATTTTTTGTTGTTCAAGCACTAAATTCCGAGGAAAATGAAACCCCATTCATATTGCCCAAAGGTGTAGAATGATTGAACTTGGACACTGTTTTGTAGTCCTTGCAAGATTCAGCATTTCTCAATTTCATTTGCTATCTTCTTTTATCTTTTGGATAAGCTGTGAGTTTGATTTCTGAATTAAAGAAAGAAAAAAGAAAGAAAAGAAATATTCTTCTGAATGTTAAGGTCTTGTGTGTGTGATTCCTAATACCTTGACACTAAATTCTGACCTTGGATATTTGGAACCAAGAATATCTTTCTGCGCATATTTTCTCCAACTGTATCCATCAAGACGAGCAACAGTCCACATTAACGCTGTCTCTCTATAAGATCAAAAAACCTGAAATCAGACCCAGATCACATATTCCATTCAAAAGTATTATTCAATTATTATAGCAAATTAATTCATCAATTACATCTTTCCGGAAACTTCTTTATCTTCGGAAGCAGCCTCGGTGGGCTCCACAGCTGTGGCTGTAGCTAGATGGGAGGATTGTTCACACGTATGTCTTCCCCGATAGGTGACCTCAAAGATTGAGGGGTCATCGTTGGATCTCTGAACTAGCCTAGAGGCCGGACATCCCTGAGAAAGACGGTGGGTGCACCTATAATATTCCCTGCAATTTGCAAATGTAGCATGAATTAGATGGTGTATGTTGGGGTGACTGGTTATGTATGTCTGCTGTTGTTTTTGCTGATATTTCAGAACATTGTTCATGTATTTTATCATTTCTCAAGTTTAATCCTTGAGTTTATTTTCTTTTTATGTTCATTTTCACTTAAGTTTTCATTTTTACATCGTCAAGTGGTATCAAAGCCAATAGCATAATACAACCAGTGGTAATTTTGGTCAGGCCAAGCTTAGCAAAAATGAGAGTGTATATTATGTAAAATGAGTATACTCATGGACCATGTATATCAATAAAAAAAAAAAAAAAAGAAAAAGAAAAAATGAACTCTCATAGGAGACCTCACAACTCACAAGTGAAAAGAGGAGTTTGTGAGTGTGAAGAACTAGAGTCCCATATCAGAGAAATGTAAAAAAGAAAGAGTAGTTTAAATATGTTAAAGACCCATGTAACTACTAGACTAGTCTTTTGGTTATAATGTGATGTCAAAACATGGATGGGCCACTCAATGTCTCCTCGTTAGGCTGTATGTCTCCCCAACAAATTGGTATTAGAACTTATAGTTCTTGAGGGAAGAATAATGTTATTCTACAGCATTCTAAAATGTCTTCTTCAATAAATTCATTTTCTTCTCCTCCCATGTTCAATGGAAAGAATTATAAATTTTGGGTTGTTAGAATGAAGGCTTTCCTCAAAGGGAATGATGTTTGGGAAGTCATCGAGCATGGTTTCCCTTTTTTTTTTCTATGGTATCCCCCTATTGTTGTACATGTGAAGAGACACAGAGTGTGTGGGGCGTGTATATATAGCGTTTTTTTTTTTTTGCTTGTTGCATTGCCAATGATATTTTCCCTAAGGTTGTGTCTTGCAAGAATGCACAAAAAGTTTGGGAAGTACTTAAAGAAGAGTATGAAGGGAGTGCTAGAGATAATAGTGTGACACTATTAGCTCTCAAACGAGAGTTTGAAATGTTGAAGATGAAAGATAATAATACAATACATCAGTATTCTTCAAAATTAGTTGATTTGGTCACTCAAATTCAAATTCAGGGTGAGAGATTTCTTGATTCACAAGTGGTCAACAAGGTGTTGGTTAGTCTTCCTGATAGATTTAAATCTACAGTTGCTGTAATAGAAGAATCTCGTGACTTAAACAAGCTCTCTATTAAGTCACTCACTGGAAAATTGTAAGCTCATGAAAAAAGACTTGGAATGAGATTTGCAAATGAAATCCCATTCATAATGCCCAAAGGTGTAGAATGTTTGAACTTGGACACAGTTTTGTAGTCCTTGCAAGATTCAGCATTTCTCAATTTCATTTGCCATCTTCTTTTATCTTTTTGGATAAGCTGTGAGTTTGATTTCTGAATTAAAGAAAAAAAACAAAAAAGAAAGAAAATAAATATTCTTCTGAATGTTAAGGTATTGGGTGTGTGACTCCTAATACCTTAACACTAAATTCTAACCTTGGATATTTGGAACCAAGAATATTTTTCTGCGCATATTTTCTCCAGCTGTATCCATCAAGACGAGCAGCAGTCCACATTAACGCTGTCTCTCTATAAGATCAGAAAAACCCGAAATCAGACCCGGATCACATTTCCCATTCAAAAGTATTATTCAATTATTATAGCAAATTAATTAATCAATTACATCTTTCCGGAGACATCTTTATCACCGGAAGCAGCCTTGGTGGGCTCCACAGCTGCGGCGGTAGCCAAATGGGAGGATTGTTCACACGTATGTCTTCCCCGATGGGTGACCTTAAAGAGCGTGGGATCTTCATCCAATCTCTGAACTTGCTTAATGGCAAGACATCCCTTAGAATAACGGTGGGAACACCTAAAATATTCCCTGCAATTTGCAAATGTACTGTGAATATATTATATTTAGAAATGTGATAATATATGTTGTATTGGTAAAAGGAGATAAAAGGGTGTAATATTGTTGGGGAGACATACTGCCAAGTGGAAGTCATTGGGTAAATTTCTCACATTTATAAAAGAACACAAACTTCAATAATTATAATACAATTTACTCCATTAGAGAGTAATTTATAATTTTCTGCATGCTCTGTAGATATATCCCAAGGGCCAAGCCACAAAGCAGCGCAAAAATCCAAGAAAAATGAAATCCATGATGCCCAAGAGTGTAGAATAATTGAACTTGGACACTGTTTTGTAGGCTTTTCTCAAATGCAGTTGCTCTGTTCTCTATCTTTTCGATAAGCTGTGAGCTTGTTTTCTGGATTAAAGTTGTTTTTTTTTTTTTAAAAAAAAAAAAGGAAGAAGAAGAAGAAGAAGAAGTCTTCTAAGGTTCTAACCTTGGATATTTGTAACCAGCAATGGCATTCTGCCCTTTTTTTTTCCAGCTGTATCCATCAACATAAGTTGTAGCAGTCCACTCTGTTGGTGTTTTTCTACATGATCAAAAAACCCAAACCCCAAATCAGAGCCGGATCACATTTTCCATTCTAAAAGAATTATAAGAGTGGCAAATTAATGAATTACCTCTTTCTGGGGACATCTCTATCATCGGAAGCGGCGCTATGGGTGACCGTTTCGGATAAAACACCAGAGTCTCGGGTGGGAAGTTCCTTCACATGGGAACGAAGTATTTCCTCTCTTGATAAGAGCTGCGCTTCAGTAGATGAGGAAGGATTGAGATGGTTCTGGAGCTGCTTAGAGATATCTTTCTCTCGTGTTAGGTCATCCAAGAGGCTCCTCTGCTCCAAATCCATATCCTTTCCCATTTACAGTATGCAACAAGATCCAAGATTCCACAAATTGTTCGAGTAAGAAAACTGAAGCAATGCTAGATTATGTTGAGAAGATCAAACTCCGAACAAGGATGATATAAAGGAGAAGATGGGAGAGTGGAGGGTGGGTTTGAACTTTGAAATGGAAAGGGGAAAGAAAGGACGATGCTTCGGAGAAATGAGAATTGAGAAGGAAAAGGCGGAACCTATTTGAGCCCCTCTAAGTTTAAAAATTTTAACTCATCACCTTATATTATAACACTTTTAACCATTTACCTTATTAAATTTATTAGTTTTAACCTCTCATCTATTAAAATTAAAGAAAATAATCATTATTTTATACTAACCGTTAATTTTATTAGTTAAAAATAAATTTTTATCAACTAATAGTTAACTAATAATTAGTTAACAGAATTAATAAAATATTATAAAATTAATTCTGTTAATTATATTAGCTGAAAGAAGATTTTTATAAATTAACAACCAACTAATAATCAGTTAATAGAGTTAATAGTCAACTAACAGAACTAATAAAATATTATAAAATGTGGATTATTTTTTTTAATTTTAATAAGTGAGAGGTTAAAAATGTCATAATATAAAGTGAGAGATTAAAATCTACAAATCTAGTATAGTGAGGTTAAAAATGTTATAGTATAAGATGAGAAGCTAAAATCTTCAAACTTAATAAGGTGAGGGGTTAAAGGTAGATTTTTGCCAAAAAAAGGAGTATTTTGCTTGGAAAAAATAAAGTAAAAAAAGAGATGGGGGGTTTTCGTTTTATTCACAAAATGGAATGAGTAACGTGGGGATATGGAAGTAATATAGGAAAGGGACTGGAGGGGAGAGGATATGCTCACTTATTCAAACCACCAATAGTAACCCCATATGGAAGAAGAAAGAAAAAAAAAAAAAGAGGATATTGAAAGAGATCCTTCATAATTCAAACCCCTCTCCGCGTGGTTCCATTGACTTAAAACTCACTTTAATTTTGTATTGGCCCTATCTTCAAAGTCCAACATATCATTATGAAACAGAAATCATCCAATCTTGGAGAAGTGAAGAGGAACAGCAAAAGGGGAATATTAGGAAACATATCTTTTCCATTCCGCCATGGCAAAGTCCAATGCACAAGTCATAACACCAGAAATCTATAGCATATCATTTAAGGATGTTCCTTCCTTGAGTCCAACATGAACATACCTACTCTGTGACTTACTAGCACTTTCCAGGAAATTGTTCTATTGGATCTACCAAGAAATTAGAGAAAGGTGAATAATACAGCATCCATTGCATACAACGGCCAGGATGGTTTTGGTAAACTACATTATCATCCATTTTGTGAGAGAATTGTTTGTTTTCTCCCCCTCTCGTTACTAGTTTCTCAACCCAAGTCGTCATGCTACCTGGAAAATTTCAGTTAGGATTATGTAGGCTGCACAATTCACTGGATAGCTTTATATGGTTCCTGACCAATCAATAATCTGTGGTAGAAACTAGAGATCAACAATCCAAGTTTGATTTCAGTGCGCAACTATTGCTGTGATGGCGAGGGAGATGTCGGAGGCTTTAAGTCTGGGTACTGCAACCAGTAAGATAAAAAAAGGAGAAAGGTCAGTGTTTATGCAGTGCATTAATTGTTAAAATAGAGGAAGGAAATTAGCAATGCAGAGAGTTTAAGGAGCAATATGAAGTGATAATTACATATGGATATGAAGAAAGAAGTTTTGGAAATCCAGAAACTGATTCTGCCTTGGCTTCTGTTTTGGCCACTGAATTAATTTGGGGAGAGCGTTCTGCTGCTGGTTCAACTTTTGGTTCTGTTGTGAGCTGAGCTGGCTCAGCTTTCTGTACGTTAGCAGGCTCTGGATTTGCCTCTGCAGGTGCTGGAAGAGCCTTGCCATTCACAGAAGATGGTAGGAGGGCCTTCCCTATTTGCTGAGTTTTGCAGGTTTAAACAACGCAGACAGAATATGAACATGAGAAATAAGCAATAGTTTAATTTGTTTACAAATATCAGAAATATGAGAACAAAAGAATACAAATTATTAGACAGTTACACCATACTGCAATGTGTCATGAAGATTCAGTTTTTGTTTCAAGGTAAATATACTAAATAATTTTCTTAAAGAATACTTATCTTGTTTACCAGGAAAAAATGGCGTTGAAATAATAACCAAAAAAAGCATTGAGTCTATACATACCTGAGGCTCATCAACAAGTTCCTTGGGAGCAACTTTGGCGTTCAAGAATTCATCAACTTGTTGAAGAGTTTGCTTTTGGTCCTGTTACAGACACGGAGTCAGGACTAAGTTCAACATAGCTACAGCCTCATTATTCATTATGATGGCAAAGTAGCTCAAAAGGCCATACTTAGAATTTATATAGGTTGCAGCTATGGCATGAAAGCCGAAAATGCAATGAAATGAGAGCTGCTAAATAATGCCGCAACATGACTGCACGATAGCAGCAAAGTGACAGCATGGAGTTGCACATGGGCTACAAGAAATGGCAGCAAACTTCAACACTTTAGTAAATGTTTTAGTAGTTAATAGAAATTGTATTAGGTACACAAATTTTATTGTTATATGTGTAGCCGTCCTCTATAAAAAGGAAGGAAGAAATTGAATGAAAATTGAATAAGAGAAGGCATGGTTTCTTCTCTCCGGTTGGGTGAATGTCTACACCCTTCCAGGTTTATAACTTTATGTCCTATGTCATGTTCTAAATTCTACTCTCCTCCTACTCTCCTCCAAGTCCTCTCTCAACCCTTTCTTCTAACCTCAAAAATCTAACATGGTATCAGAGCTGAATTCTTGAGGGACCTATAAGAGTTTGTTTTTTGAAAAAAGGAACACCAGAAAAAACCCACCTTTCTCATTGTTGTCAGACGGTTCTTCATGTGAAACCCCTCTTTCTTGGCCAAAATCTTTCAGCGAAAAAGGCTGTGAAGATGGAGGCATATGGTGGTCCCACCAAGGGAGATGTCAAGGAGAGGAAAGCTGGATTCAAAGAGAAGGTGTTCATGTTTGTTTCCAAAATCAGTCCAAGAGGCAGATCATGGTCGATGGAATGCGAACTGAGCACAAAAAGCTCAGTTTCATGGTATTTTCTTCATCCACCTTTTATGTCTGCTAGGGATATGTTTTAAGTTTTCCCAAGAAAACTCTTCATGGATGTGGCTTTGATGTTCTAAACTCCCACGGCTTCATGGTAAAGAATGTCTGATGGAGGAGCAGGCAAGACCAAGCACAAAAATACAACTTCAGAATGTACTGAAGCAGTAAAGATCCATGGACAAAACTGCTGCAATGGTGGAGTTGCTGAAAATGTTTAAGGCTCTAGAATTTGTTCAAACTGCAAAAATCTAACGAAGATGAAGCTGATTTGCAGGAGGAGCTAAAATATTTGAGAAAATGGTACTTGCAGCAAAGAACTGAAAATTGTAGATTAAATGTGCTAAAGTAAAATTTTGTTTCTACAGCTTTAATGCCGAGGAGGAGTTTGTTGGAGCTATGGCATGAAGGCTGAAAATGCAATGAAATGAGAGCTGCTAAATGATGACTGCAACATGACAGCACAGTAGCAGCAAAGTGACAGCTGCATGGAGCTGCGCATGGGCTACAAGAAATGGCAGCAAACTTCAACATTTTAGTCAATGTTTTAGGTAGTTAATAGTAATTGTATTAGGTAGAAAAATATTATTGTTTTATGTGTAGCCTTTCTCTATAAAAAGGAAGAAATTGAATGAAAATTAAGAGAAAGCATGGTTTCTCCTCTCTGGTTGGGTGAATGTCTACACCCTTCCAACGTTTATGACTTTATGTCCTATGTCATGTTCTAAGTTCTACTCTCCTCCTACTCTCCTCCAGGTCCTCTCTCAACCCCTTTTAACCAAAAAATCTAACAATATATAATGTGTTTCTTGCTCACTAACGTATAGAAATGAGCATTACTTCATGTGTTGGACAAAGAAGACATTTTGTCAAACAAATTCATGAAAATATAAGCAGAAGTAAAGGGGCTAGCCTCTGCAAATAGGAGTTTCTTGCTCACTAACTGAACAATTGCAGCTGAGCCAAGAAGTTGGAGAATTGTTTCTATATGGATAAGACGCAGCAAACAGTACAGTTTTGAATAACCCATTCCAAGTTTTTGAAAGAATAAATAAAATACTGAAAGTCAAAACTAAAGAATGACAGAGTAGAAATAAATTAACAGGTAAAAGGCTCAGACACCTAACCTCTGTGAACGTTAATAAACCCAATCCAGTAGCTGCAGCAATACCAAGAGTAACTGGCAGGGAGTCAGATCCTTCCTGCATATTAATCTCCATCATTACCATGAAGAAGATATCTATACTCAATTATAAAAATGCTGAAAATATTTCAAGGTGAAGGTAAGAAATCAACCATAAAGAATTAAGATCTGTATGCATGTTTCACAGTTTGGTTGATTCTTTCTGTAGCAGCCACCTGGTTGCTTTTATTGTAATTGACAAGTTCTGAATATATAGAATTCACATTTTATCCAAAAGAAAAAAAGGGGGGAAAGAAATCAACCAAGCTATATTGTTCCTCTAGTGATATATTCTACATTCTTTTCCCACTTTACGTTCAAACATAGCAAAATAAAGGAACAATTTATACATAAATGCATGACAGCTAAAGCTTAAAAATGCAAAAGGAAACATGAAAGATGGATGTGTACTCCAAGTGTCCCATTGATGGACTCTGTCAAACTGCTTAGGTCAAGACTCAGTGCTTTCTTTCAGTGGTATCTAGGGAAGACCACTGTTCTGCAAAAATTGTAATCTGTCTCAAAAGGTTTTCACTGCTAAATGCATTATAATACCAAATTACAACTGGATGGAAAATGAAATAGCATGAAAACGGATTAGCAAATACCATCCATCCTCGGGCTCCTTCTGCACCGTCTTTTATGGCATAGACAGCTCTGAATCCATTTACAGTAACCAAACCCGCAATCAGTTCAGAGTTCCCATCAAACCTGGCTTTCAATGCAAATTCAGAAACATTAGACAAAGAATCAATTAGATATTCTAGTTTCACCATTGTTTTACAGAAAAACAATGCACATAGAATAGAAAGCAGAAGAGAGAAAGGGTAAGCAGTTTTTAGTTATTAGCCAGTCATTCCATATACATAAAATTTAATTCTGCTGTTCTGTTTTGATCTATGTTCAAGCAAAATAACAAATGAAGAGACCTTAGATACGATGATTAGTGACTGTCTTACCCTGTTGGTGAAGTTGGTCTAGAAGCCTTACATGTACGGTTTCTTGGGAATTCAGTCAATATGATGCACAACTAAAGAACAAGAAATTTTTTGTAACTACAATAATTTATTAGGAAATAGAAATTTCAAAGTGTTTGAAGTATACACCATATCTTACATTTTCTAGTAATTTTTATGAATCAGAAGTTGAGTATGATCATATTTACATGATAAACTACTATAATGTAGGCAAAATTAAAAAGGGAAAGTTCCCAATCTGAACCAGTCCTTATAATTGAGACAACACCGCTAAAAGCATAAAACTTGATTCTTGTTATTCTCTGGACTGAATTCTATACTTCTCAAGAATTGTCACTTATTAGTTTCTTTATTAACTTTTGTAGGCATAAGTACAGTTCCTTTAAACAACAGGGAATGCCAAAGGTTTTAACCCAACTCCTGGTTTTCTCGAATCCTAAACCTTTTTTTGAAGAGTTCCAGAGTTCCTGTTCATCAATTACTTATCAGATATGTCTAGCATAATAGAGTTTGAAAGTTTCTTTATCTAGTTATTCTGTTTCTCTTCATTTCTTCTATATTACCCCAGACTTTAACTAGGAGTAAGGGTCTAATAAAAGCTTACTTGTCCAGAATAAATAATGTGGTATTTTCCGGTTTTTTGGAACTTCAAAGACAGCTTCTTCAAGAACCCGGGCTTATCCTCACTCTTGTAAACAATCGATACTGGTTTCTTACCCAAACCCCTGACATATGGACTGCCAACCGCCCTAAACTCCTTTGGCCCCCTTATATCAAGCAACTGAGCACCGGCATCCTCCCCCAGCTTTGCATAAGCACTCTTCGGAGACTCACTACCCCATGGCTTAGACTTGCCAAACACCTGAGACAGAACAATCGGAAGAACCAAAATGGCGGCGCCGCTGGCTACAATAGCAGGATTCTCCGTTACAAAGCCAACAACAGTATCAAGAACCCCACTCGATTCAACTTCAGATCCGGAGGACCCCGTCGACTGCTGCAACGCTTCCTCAGGGCATAAAAATATGTTCTTGAAAATGGCCATCAAGATGCAGTGAGGAACTGACTTTCTACCCATAGCATATTACTCCTAATTTTATCCATAAAAGGAGGATAAGAGGAAGATAATTATATTTTGTTTGAAACACTATACAAAAACCTATGATGGGTTCCATTAACAGA